AGAGATCCCTTGGAGTCAGCATAGGTTAATTAAAAAAACAAACAGGTCCTTCCAGACTATCCTCATTCCCTAGTGAAGGTCAACTAGATCAATAGATCAAAGGAATGCCATAGTCCAGAGTACCTGGACCAGCAGGTGTAGCCAGTCTCTCATGACATCCTTACAAATAAGGAATAAGATGCAGTGCTGGAGGCTGGAGGCAGGGCAGGAGATACAACTGTAATATGGACCAAAACCTCAAAAACTGATTAAACTACTCAATGCAAAAAAAGTGTCAATCAACATATAAAGGAATGCTCAACATCATTAATCATCAGAGAATTGCAAATTAAAACCACAATGAGATACCACCTTACTCCTGTCAGAATGGCCATTATTAAAAAGTTAAAAAAAAATAGATACTGGTGTGGATGCAGAGAGAAATGAATGATTATACACTATTGGTGGGACTGCAAATTGGTACCACCTCTATGGAAAACAGTATGGCAATTCCTCAAAGAAATAAATGTAGACCTACAATTTGACCCAGCAACCCCACTACTGGGTATCTACCCAAAGGAAAGGAAGTTATCTTATCAAAAAGACATTTGCACTCAAATGTTTACTGCACCACAATTCACAGTTGCAAAGATGTGGAATCAACCTAACTGCCCATCAACTCATGAGTGCTTTAAGAAAATGTTATATATATATATACCATGGAGTACTACTTAGCCATAAAAAGGGATGAAATGATGTCTTTTGTAGCAATGGGGATAGAAGAGGAGACCATTATTCTAAGTGAAGTATCTCAGGAATGGAAAAACAAACACCATATGTACTCTCTAATAATTGGAAGCTAATTGATGGGCATACACAGGCACAAAGAGATGTAAAGGTCTTTGTAACTCAAGGAGTGGAGGGGTAAAAACTTACCTGTCGGGTACAATGAACATTATTCTGGTGATTGGCAAACTAAAAGCCCTGACTTAAGCATTATAGAAGGTATCCATGTAACAAAATCATTTGTACCCCCATACAAAAATAAGTTAATAAAAAAAAAAAGAGTGTCAATCAGTGTCAACCTCTGGGCTCTGCCCTTTTTATTAAGGATAGCCATTCATTCTTCTGGTGCTTTCCATTTCTAGGACCACTTGGGTCTAAATCTCCTGTACTAGTACAACAGCCTCCTGCCTGGATGGATGCACAGCACCAGAGTGAAGTGGTCTTTTAAAAACACAAAATTGCGGCCAAGTCCGGTGGCTCACACCTATAATCCTAGCACTCTGGGAGGCCAAGGCAGGAGGATTGCTTGAGTTCAGGAGTTCAAGACCAGCCTGAGCAAGAGCGAGACCCTGTCTCTACTATAAATAGAAAAGAAATTAGCCAAACAACTAAAAATAGAAAAAATTAGCCGGGCACAGTGGCGCATGCCTGTAGTCCCAGCTACCCGGGAGCTAGGCTGATGCCATAGCACTCACCCGGGCAAGAGTGAGACTCTGTCTCAAAAAAAAAAAAAAAAAAAAAAGTTTAAAAAAACCCCCACAAAATTGGTCACCTTACTTCTCTGCTCAAAACCCAGACAACTTTTCCCTGACTTCCATCACCCTCCTAAAGAACCACTCCTTTTCTCCCCGATAATTATTTTGTTTATTCTGCTTGTTTTATTACTCAGTGATACATTCAATATCTCATTGTAGTTTTAACGTGCATTTTCCTAATGACTAATGATTGGGTATATTTTTCCAAGTGTGCTTATTTCCTACCCATGTATTTTCTTTGGACAACATTTTAAAATTTTTCTTTTAATTATGAAAGAGGCTCTCACTCATTCTAAAACTAGACGAACAATACAGAAACATAAAGAGCTAATAGTCCCCACCACTAACTCCTCAACACACACAGGTAACCAGAGGTCCGTAAGCATAACCAGGAGTGCTTATTAAACATGCAGATTCTTGTTCCTACTCTTGAAGATTCTGATTTAGTAAGTCAGGAGTGGAGCATTTTAACAAAACCTCTAGGGGATTCTGAAGCAAACTGTCTGCAGATCATTTCTTGAGAAATCCTGCTCTTACTCTTGGCCAAAAGGAATAAAGGCAGTGGATATAGAGGAGGAAAAACACGGAAGGGGCGCATGGCTGCCTTCGAATAAGGAAGAGTTTTGCCTGAAATAGCGAGCATGATTCCCCTGTATTGTGCTGTGGAGTGCTTCAAGTTTGGAACCTAAAAGTCAAGTTAGAAAAAGAAAATCCTAATTTTTTAGAAACTACTGTGAAACAAAATAGAGACACAGAGCCAGGAAGGAAGAAACTTGCCAGCGTCACCGTGCTTGCAAAATATAGGCCTTCTCTGGGTTGAGAAATGACTAATTACAACTGAGGTGGAAAGAGGGCAAGCAACAACCGCCTCCCCCCAATATACACATTCTCTCTTTCTCTCTCCTAGGAAAAACTCCCCTTTATAAATACATAGAGAGGAATGTAATCCCCTAGACAGGTGGTATGTGTCTTAACCGAAATTAAATAGCAGCTATTTGCCCCTAGCCATATTTCCTTGGCTCAATTTGGAAGGCCTAAAGAGTTCTTCCAAAAGAGAAAGGACACAAAACAGTGTTTTTTAAAAAGCAGTTCTTTTCATAGATAAATGGGCCCTGCCCACATTCTGCCCTCCCAAGCTTGGATCCATAGATTTAAAGTTCTTAAGACTGCCCATAAACAGGCAATAGACTTTGGGCAATCAAGCCGTACAAATGCCATTTTGCTTCTGTTGCAGCACCCCAAAACACAATCCTCCCCTCATTAGTTAAATAAAAAGCCATTGATTTGATCTAGAGCAGAATCAACCAAGGCACTGTTTACCACAGTAATCCGCTGACACAAGCGGATGTGAGCCAGCTGCCCCGGCAGCTCCTGTCCCTGGCAGACGCTCAGCTGAGCCTCCACTGCAGGGCAAGGCTGGGTGTTGCCCAGGTCCCAGTTCGTGTCCTCTTTCCTCTGGCTCCATTCGAAAGGGGCAAGTGAAGCCCAGCCCAAACAGTCCTTGTTACAATATCTGGTAATTTCTACTTTCAGCATTCTACCTTAGGTCAAATACTGAGTGTAGGGTACTGCTTTGCTGCACCCTTATTTAAGATACTATCACCAAGGCATGTGCTGTGGTTTGCAAGTCATCCTAGGGTTGACTTTATATTTTCATGTTTATAATTGTTAAGATTTTTGTTTTATTTTGTTTCAGATATTGCCCTATTTCTTCCAGCTCATCACCCTTTCTTAACTGACGCAGCTTTGATTCACTGGGTTTTATGCATTAGCACTTTTTTTTGAATTGATGCATAAAAGATATACATAGTTTCAGAGTACATGTGATAATTTAATATATTCATAAAATTTGTAAAGATCAAATCCGTGTACTTGGGCTATCCACCACCTTAAATATTTGTCTTTTTCTTTATTCTAAGACCAAATTCTTCTCTTCTAGTTATTTGGAAACAGACAACAGATTATTATAAATTATAGTCACCCTATAGTTTATGTAAACCATATTTTTAATATTTATTTACACATATTACATAATAAGCCCTATGGTTTATGTAAACTATGGTCAGCACTTTTATTGAGCATCTACTATGAGCCAGGCACTGGGCGTTACATTCATTTTTTTTTTTTTGAGACAGAGTCTCACTCTGTTGCCTGGTTTGAGTGCCGTGGCGTCAGCCTAGCTCACAGCAACCTCAAACCTGGGCTCAAGCAATCCTCCTGCCTCAGCCTCCCAGAGTAGCTGGAACTAAGGCATGCCCACCATGCCCGGCTAATTTTTTCTATATATTTTAGTTGGCCACTTAATTTCTTTCTATTTTTAGTAGAGACGGAGTCTGGCTCTTGCTCAGGCTGGTTTCAAACTCCTGACCTTGAGCGATCCACCCGCCTCGGCCTCCCAGAGTGCTGGGATTACAGGCGTGAGTCACCGTGTCAGGCCTACATTCATTCTACATTCATTCTTAAAGTCTGACGACAGCCTGGAGGAAGAGGCAGACCATCGTAACCTCATTCTACAAATAAAACTGGGCCTCGAAGAGGTTAAACTGCGTGTCCTGGATCCCACAGCCAGCAGGGTCAGGACACTGCCTGGACTCACAGCAGGTACTCCTCCACAAGCTGCCTCCCTTCAAAGGGGCAAAGAAACTGCTCTGAAACGCCCCGACTGAGCGCCAGCCAGCAGTCATTCCCTCCCGCAGGGATTCCTGTGAAATCCCAAACTGGGCACACGGAATGTGCGCGCCCCTCTATGGAGAGCGGGCACAGCTTTCTAAGGGGCGGGGACCTCCCGAAGCTTAAGTACCAGTGCCTGGCCGGCGCGGTGGCTCACGCCTGTAATCCTAGCACTCTGGGAGGCCGAGGCGGGCGGATTGCTCGAGGTCAGGAGTTGGAAACCAGCCTGAGCAAGAGCGAGACCCCGTCTCTACTAAAAATAGAAAGAAATTAATTGGCCAACTAATATATGAGAAAAATTAGCCGGGCATGGTGGCGCATGCCTGTAGTCCCAGCTACTCGGGAGGCTGAGGCAGGAGGATTGCTTGAGCTCAGGAGTGTGAGGTTGCTGTGAGCTAGGCTGACACCACGGCACTCACTCTAGCCTGGACAACAAAGTGAGACTCTGCCACAAACAAACAAAAAAAGAACCAGTGCCTGGGCACGCTGTCCACTGTCCGTTGCCCTCGAAGTTCCTGGCGCCCAGGAGGGGGGCGCTCTGGCCTCCAGGCCCAGCTTTGGCGTTACGTTTCTGAGGGCCCTTGGCCAAGACACCGCACCTTATTGAGTGCGGATTTCTATTCTCTTTCCCCCGTCCTTGACTGTTCACTCATTATTATATTTTGCGTGGCAAGGATTCTTTACCATTGTTTGTATTTTTCCGTCATTTTAGTGTGTGAATTCTTATTAAAATCTGCCTCAAATCCTGCATGGAAGCGGGCAGAGATAAACAGACACAAAGGATAATACTTTTTTCCTAGCCCAGCTTACCTCCCCGCGTCTGTTTCCCACCTGCAAAACGGTTGGGTCGCACGGATCAGGTGGCTCACATTCCCAGAAGGCTCACAACACGCAGCTAGGGGACCGGAGCTCGCGCATCCCGCCCTTGGCTGCCCCACTCCTTCCTCCGAGCCGCGCGGCGGCTGTCTGCGCAGCCCTCCGCAGCCCCGCCTGCCCGCCGGCCCCGCCGGCCGGCGACTCACCGCGCCAGGTGCCCGCCGGCGCTCGCGCACGCAGCCCGCCCGGCCGCGGCGCAGACAGGGGCGCGCGCGCCCACCCGGCGGCTGTGCCAAGCGAGGGCGCGGGCGGGCGCGGCTCTGCCCACGCCGCTGCGTGCGTGCGCGCGCCGCGCAGCGGTGGCGGGGCTCCAGCCTTTGTTGATTGTGCTTCTGGAGCCAGGTGGTTTTCCGCTCGCGGCTGGGGAGCCAGCCCGGCCGGCCGGGGAGCGGTGCCCTGGCTGGCGGCCAGCGCGGAGCACTGCGGGCCGGCTTCCGCGCCGCGCCCCGCACCCTCCCACCTGCGGGCGCCAGTTAAGCCGCCTTCTCCTGGCACCCCGAAAACAGGGGCCAGCACTCAGGCCACCCCGTGGGCATGCTGACCCCGTATCACTGGGTGTGTGTGCTCCTGCTCCAGTCCCCGAACTCTAGGCTTGGGCCTTGATTTAATTCTGAGTTCCCGCCCAGGTTCCCAGGGGCTCTCCGCACAACCTGAGCAAGTTGGCCACTCTCCTCTTCTGTGGCATGAAGGTGTTGTCCATTCTCTCACGCTACGTGAGGGACACACTGTTCCGGGCACTGAGGATTCAGCAGTTAACACGACAAAGTCCCCGCCCTCTCTGGCTCCTGTCCTGGACATTGAATACACAAATGAAAGTGATAATTGCTATGAAACGTATGGAAAGTTTCATATCAGGGCAACCAAACTTTGTTTGTGAGGTCAGGAATGGACTAGATGACCTTTTATCATCCCGCCAGTTCTACCTTTTATTCTTATTCTCATTATTAAAGATTGTTATTATTTATTATTACTACTGGTGGTAGTCGTATTGCTTACTTAGTGCCAGGTACCAACTCAACATTTTACTTATATTGCCTCCTTTATCTCATCCACAACTTCTCTAAGAGATGGGTATGATTATTATTTTCTTCATTTTAGAGGGAGAAACTAAGCCTCCAGAGATGAAAATAACTTGCCCACCATCACAACTGCTGAGTGGCAGGGCCAGTATTCAAATTCCGACTGTGTGTGGCCTCAGGGTGCTTAGCCACTGCTCCACACCCATAAAATATATAAAGACCAGAATAGCACAGTATCTTGAATGTGACAGATGAGGACAATTGAAGGAGACAGGGGTGATTTAGCCCGTAGAAGAGAAAAGCAAGGGAGGTTGAGAGCTTTTCTAAAAGAGCAGTCCTGTAGATTAGGCTTTACCTGTCGCTAGGATACGGAAAGCTATGAGGAGACATATTACAATTCAATATGTAAGTGTTCCAAGGTGAGCAGGTCTATGCAGACCTACTCCCAACAGCCAAGGAAGCTGACAGGCCAAAGAAAGAGGCTGACAAATCTAGTTTCTCAGAAAGAAACATTTAATAGGGACTTAGGAACAGAAGCCATGTGTCTGGCAGCAGTGAGAGAGTGAGTATCCTGCCACTAAAATAAGTAAGCATTCAAGCAGGGAGGCTTACCAGGGGGTGCTTCAAGAAGAGTCAGGTAAAAGTTAAAGACTGAATGCGGATCTCTGAGGTTCCCTCCAATTCTGGCATTTGATCTACTCTAACCCATTGCTAGAGACATTGAGTCGTAGAGTGGTTAAGTGGCTTGTCCAGAGTCACCTGGGAAGTGAAGAGCAGGTGTCAAAACCAAGTCTGATTCCTAGACAGACGTCCTAATTGTTTGGGGGTGAGGGTCTTGTGAGTGTCAACACCTCTGCTCATGCTCCTGTAAAGTATGTGTGTGTCTGTGCCGTTCGCTTGGGAGTGTGAAATCATCTGCTTCACATGTTTTACTTTGCACTTCTAATGTGTGCCCTTCCTCCTTGCTTGTGTTGGGTATTCTGTGTTTTCACATACAAGCATCAATACCCCCTGGACAATTGCTGCATTTCATGTATTTATTTGGTAATTTAAGGAGACAGAAATAAGCTGGATAATATTGTCATTTGAAATGGATGTTTCTTTGATTCTGTTTTAGAAAATTTGTGTTATTCTGAGTGAGATTTCTAATGCACTGGCAATAATTCCTCCATCTCTCATCCTGGTCACAAATATTTTGATGAGCAGCAATCTACTTGTCAACTTCAGAAGAGACATTCTTTTCTCGATGCTCTGGAGAGCTACTTGTTTGTTTTTGACTGAAAACCTCTAACAAAGGAATCCAATTGCCATTTGGGATTGATTTCTAGAACATTAACAAAGAAATAGACATTCACTTGTCTCCAGTGACACTAAACCAAAGATAAAAAGAGTCCCCTTTCACTTCTACCTTCAGCAGAGTGATCAATTTTTAAATTTTAGCTATTTTTTGAAAAGAAAATACATTCTCCTTGTTTAAAATTCAAAAGTATACTGTCAGGGTTATGATCTTTGGATTCTGCCCAGTGCCTGGAATAATGCCTTGTATATAGTAGGTGCTGAATAAGTGTTTGCTGAATGGGTGGATGAGTGAGTATGAATTAAGAAATTGTGGGAGGCAGAGAAAGAGGTGGATTAGGGTGGGGCAGCAGTCATTCAAGAGTCCAGAGAGCAATCGATCATATCCCTGGTATTTCTTCTTTTGCCTGAGGTGCACAGGCCTTGAAGGGAGCCCAGACAGAGCTCTCAGACCAGTTGCAAATTTGACCATGACTTTATTCAGATATCTTTACTAAAAGCAGCAGCATGAAACTCTTTGGGATTGAGAATTACCTAAAGACTATGTACTAACCAGAGTCGTTGGTTGCAAGCAACAAAAACTGATTCTAGTTAACTGAAGCAGAAAAAGAATTTATTGGGAGGCTGGGCGTGGTGGCTCATGTCTGACATCCCAGTACTTTGGAAGGCTCAAGCAGGAAGATCACTTGAGGCCAGGAATTCAAGACGAGCCTAAGCAACATAGCGAGCCCTTGTCTGTACACAAAGTGGAAAAATTAGCTGGGTGTGGTGGCACACCTATAGTCCCAACTACTTACGAGGCTGAGGCAGGAGGATTGCTTGTGCCCAGGAGTTAGAGGCTGCAGTGAGCTATGGTGATGCCACTGCACTCTAGCCTGGGCAACAGGCGAGACCCTGTTAAGGAAGGGAGGAAGGGAGTATGGGGGAGCTCAAATAATTGATAGAAAGGCTAGAAAACCAGGCAAGGCATATAGGCAGGGACCACAGAAGGCCAGGTGGCCAGATCCATGGAGGAAACCACACCACAGGAAGGATGCTTCTTCTGGACACTGGCAATACCACTGGCCCTACCACTCAGGCTGTGACCCTGGGGATTGGATGCCATAGTTGACTCATTTGTCATCACCTCTACCAGATACAGGATGCCACCACCACCAAAATTCACTAAAATTTACTGAATAAATTTTACACACTGCCTGATTCTCTTCAATCCTCTCTCCGGAATCACAATCCAAGGGTGACTGGCTGATTGACTCTGAGGGGTCCCAAGTAGTCAGCAATCAGGGAAAGCTGGTACCAGGGCCTTTGGCTTCCTTCAGTGAGATCCAGGGCTCTGCTTCACACAATAGCCTGTTTCCCAAATGCAAAAGGACAATCTGGAGGCTGAGAAACCAGGCAACTGACAAATGTCCACTATGCAGTCACCTTCTAATAATTTGTAGAATTATTACAAATTTGTAGGCCAAAAACTGAAAGAATTAAAGAATAGAATCTGTATAACAGGCTTAGTACAGCAACTGAGCTGAACTCTTAAAACCTGAAGAGTTGTTACATTTGTTACTCAACATTTTATTTTTTTTTGAGAAAGAGTCTCACTTTGTCGCCCAGGCTAGAATGAGTGCCATGGCGTCAGCCTAGCTCACAGCAACCTCCAACTCCTGGGCTCAAGCGATCCTGTTGCCTCAGCCTTCCGAGTAGCTGGGACTACAGGCATGCGCCACCATGCCCCGCTAATTTTTTCTATATCTATTAGTTGGCCAATTAATTTCTTTCTATCTGTAGTAGAGATGGGGGTCTCACTCTTGCTCAGGTTGGTTTTGAACTCCTGAACTCAAGCGATCCACCCGCCTCGGCCTCCCAGAGTGCTAGGATTACAGGCGTGAGCCACTTCGCCTGGCGTTACTCAACATTTTAAAGTGTCAGCTAATCAAAGAACTTCTTTACAGCACTGATACTTTCTTCTATGCCTTTCCCTTGCTTTCTCATTGGACTCATTTGCAATTGCAGAGTTAAGCAAAGGAAGTTTGAGAAGAAAGAAGTAACTTGTCAAATGTGTACTTAGCATCACAAGAGGGGCTGTGCCTTGGGTTAAATCCAATTTATTTTTCTGATAAATTTAAAAAAACTGCCTAGCTATTTTAGAGTCTTAGTTTTGGCATCATACCTATTTTTACATTCAACTTTGTAAAATCCAGCGCTTTTTCTACAGTAATAATAAAAAATAGGTGCTACTTACTGAATGCCTAATACATGGCAGTAATGTTTTATAGATTATTTATAATCCTAACAATAATCCTATATGATAGATATTAATTACATTTTACAGATGAAGAAATTGAAATTCAGAGAGATTAAGTAACTTGTCCAAGGTTACATGGCTCACAGGTAACTGGGGTTTGGAGCCAAGTCTATCTGTATACCATACTGTCTCTTGTGTGGTTGCTTTCTCCAAAGAGTTCCATCATCACTTTTTTAAAAAAAATTATTCAACTGAGTCTAGAATGTAAGGGGTCTTTGTTTGTTTTTGATATAGAGTCTCACTTATTGCCCATGGTAGAATGCAGTGGTGTCATCATAGTTCACTGCAACCTGAAATGCCTGGGTTCAAATGATCCTCCTGCCTCAGCCTCCCAAGTAGCTGGGACAACAGGCACACACCACCATGCCCAGCTAAGTTTTCTATTTTTTGTAGAGACGAGGTCTCACCGTGTTGCTCAGGCTGGTCTCAAACTCCTGGCCTCAAGCAATCCTCTCACCTTGGCCTTCCAAAGTGATAAAATAACAG